CACACCACTCACCACGTGTCCTCCCCACGCTTCCCCTCTGCATGCGCGCCGGAGACCCCACCGCCGGCCATGCAGCCGCCGCAGCGGTCGCCGGTAACTGTCGCCGGAGTTCCCAAATCTCACCAGAAATCGCGTTTTGCCCAGAAAACCCCCAATCTTCATCCCCTCCGATCATCAACATTCATATTCATCACCGGTCATCAGAATTCCCAGAAACGTCCATGGATCTTCATCCACGTTCATAACAAATTTTTTCCAGATCTTCATCAAGTCCATACGAATCTTCATCAAACTCCTTCAACGTTCATCCACAACCTTCACCAATCTCCAGAAATTGAAGGATCCTCAGCAACATTCTTGATTCCAGAAGAACTCGAAGTGTGTTGTTCATCCAAGAATCACCAAGATTCGTCCGTTCATCATGCGCTCATCATCATTTTCCAGATTTTCGAAGAACACCTTCAACGTCTTCGATCAACCTTCAGCAAGAAGTATTAGGTCTTCACATGCATGTTCGTATTCTTCGATCTTCATGCTTTCCAGAAGAACCTTAACATCTCCGTTCACGAACAAGATCCAAGAACCTTCAACTCTCTTCTCCAGATCGCTCAAACAAACGACAAACTCCAAGATCCCCACGCGTTTTCTGCAGAAGTGCCCTCAAGTTCTTCATCGTCTTCAACTCGACGTTCATCAACCTTCAACCTTTCCCAGCGATATTCAATGACCTTCGATCCAGGGATTCAACCGCGAACGAGCTTTTCTCCCTATCTGCAAAACCTCACGTTCCTCCGATGATGGCAAAGTAATTTAGGGTTGATTGTTGAAGCATTTTGCGCTAATCTTGTTTTGAGTAAAAAGATTGAAACGGAGATGGTAAGGGTGGGCGAAGAACAAGGCGGCGGCGCAAGGTTGAGAGGGAGAAGGGAGATAGTTAGGAGTTAGGGTTTGTTTCAGAGTGAGTGAGGAGAGGGAGAGGCTCTCGTTGGACTCCTCAGATTGGGGTAGTGGGCCTTGGGCCCAATGTTCAGTTCAGATCTGCACCCCCTGGTTCTGTATCTCCCCTCCGTTTACTTCTTTGGTCTAATTGGGCTGAAACCCAATTGCATTTCTGGTCACACCCCTCCGTTTAGGCCTTTCCCTCCCAGTTTTTTTTTATTTTTCTGAATTACTTAGTGGGTTGGGCCCAGTTCTTGTATTATTTTTTGCTTCTGCACCCCTGGGTCTGCAGTTTTGGCACCCCCTTGTTCTTTTCTTCATTTTCTTTTATTTCCTCTTGTTTAGTTTTTTCAAGAAAAAGAATATAAAAGGAGGATATGTAATAGCAAAAAAAAATATGTAGTATAAGCATAGAAAAATATAAAGAATATATAGTGATATAAAATAATGATAGTTTTTTATATTTTCTTTTAGGATAGTATTTTTACTATCTTAGGATATATTTCTCATAGAGTTTATTTTACATTTTTAGAAGTAGATTTAAATGTCCACTTGTTAGGGGACTATTTTTCATTAGATTTTCCATATTAGGTGGATAGGATTTTTAGGAGTTTATTTTCTTGTACTCAATCATTGTAATTCTTTCAGAATATTAATAAAACGAGATTGATGTTGTGGTCTCCGTTCTACCCGTAGTTAGGCTGAACTACAGCTGCTCTGATTTCTTGTACCAGACAAGAATATGTAGGCATAGAATGCGATATCCTAGCGAGCACACTAACAACTAACTTTTGTTCTCCTCGCTGTTGTGCGATCGAGACTTTCCCGCTGACGACTGATGTCATCCTTTTCTCTTGCCCAAGTGCATTTGAGACCAGACCGTAGTTCTAGTTCCCGTAGGTTCCCATACCTCGAAACCCGACATATTACGTCCGTTCTACCGCAAACAGGTACGCCTAAGTCTCCAATGGTCGAGCAGCGTCCACCTAACTGCTAGAATGCGCACGCTAGTATCGTCAACTCAATCTCTCACCCCCGTGTGACCGAGAATACCCTGTCTAACCGTAGTTAGCCTGAACTACGTCATGCTCTGATTTCTCGGAAGAGAATACGTAGGCCCAAGACGCGACGTCTTGCCGAGCAAACTAACCCGTAGTTTCCCGAACTACGCAGACTCTGATTTCTCGTTCTCTTGAGAATACGTAGGCATAAAGTGCGACACTCTATCGAGTCAATTTCTTTCCGTTTAGAATTAGCAACCGTAGATAGATTGTTTTTCACTCGTCCAAGTAAACACAGCAAGCGTGGATCCCGTTGAGTACGACGGACGTGAGGGGTGCTAATACCTTCCCCTTGCGTAACCGACTCCCGAACCCAGACAATGGTTGCGATGACCTTGTTTTACCCTTTTTCGTCAGGTTTTTCCGATTGTTTCCTTTCCCGCTCTGAGGGATAAATAACGAAAGGTGGCGACTCTTCTGTCATGCCGGCACCTTATTTTCGCGAAAGCGACAAAAACCATCTGAGTCGGGGATTTTATCTCTGTCGCAATTCCACGCAGCGTCCTTGATATCATCTTTCGAAAATGGTTCCTTTAGACCAGAGGACTCCTCCAAATAGGAGTGGGAATAGGCTGGGCCGAATTAGGTTTTGTCAAGCTTGAGTCTGACCTGCTAAAACTTTCAAAGCCTGACCTATGGCCTATTGTAGACTTATTTTTAAACCTGAGTCTGGCCTTTTCGAATGTCTGTTTGACCAATTAGCCTACATAAAAGCCTATTATATTTGAACATTTGTAAATAAACAATTACATTAGTGTTTAAATAGACTAACAAAATGAAGGTTGTTCTAGAATCCCCCTCCAAGAAACAAAAGTAGGACTTAGTTCCTGATAAGATGATGAGATCCTAGGAACTAAGTCCTTCTACACCGGTGAGGATAGGTTGGAGCTAGCTTATCAGGATGTGGGATCTGCCATCAAACTGGAAGGTGAATGTCTTTGGGAGCGAAAAACACATGTAGCTGGTTTAATGTGGGAGTTATTCTCCCTTTGAAAACTTCGAGGTTGGAGTTCTCAACCATTTGGTGATATCCCCCTCGCAGTTCCATCCAATAAATTGGACACAAGTAAGGGTTTTTCAATACTGGTGGAGTATTTGTTCTGTTCTTCACCTATTCCATGTGTTGAGGAAGTATGTTGGCCCTAACCACCCTTAAGGTTTGGTCTCTTTAAAGCAGTGTCGAAACTCTTCAAAGTGTATATGGACGGACGCCTTTAAGAATTTCAAGGACAAATTATTTTTCTTTGTCCCCCTCAACCTTGCTGCACACCAAACACTTTGCGAGATTCTTGTTAGGGCGCTTGCGAATGAAGGAATTAGGGAACATGACTTGGATAGGCATGGAGGTATCTTTGAGGCCACCACTTCTTATGATGATTCTTTCGAGGCCTAGTTGAGCCCCGAAGAGGAAGTCGTGTGTTATATCGAGCCGTGATGTTCTGATCGGCCATAGTGTGAGGAAAGGTTCTCCAAGTGGTGGTCACTAGCTAATTTTACCCAGGTTAGCCTCGACGAGATGAAGTTGAAGAAATGTCTTGTAAAATTTTAGAAAGACTAATTGCAAATGATTGTCAATCCATAAGGCAATGCCACTATTATGTACTAGAACAAAGAATTGGTGAAATGTTGACCATGACCGCTGTGAAAAAACTTCGGATGCAGTGGTGACAGTTTTATAGAGAATGAATAAGGTATCTGGAACAAAGGTTAATAATCACACACAAACTCAGTATATGAATGAAGTGGAAAGTATGAGTGAAAATGTTCATGCATGTGACTCAGAGTCGAACTTATATAGAAATGATGGTTATAACGGTCTTCGAGTTGTTTGGCGTGGAATGTGGATAGCCTTTAGACGAATAAGGAGGGTAGTGCCCCTGTGCGGTATCTGTGGATGCAGGTCCACCTATTCGTCACTGATTTGCGTGTCTTGACTGAATTGAGCTTATAAAAAGGGTTCAAACTGACAAGGATTTAGTCTGGGTGGCAGTAGAATATATGGATAACGCTACATATGTAACATGAACGTGTTTAGTGTTGCATCAATCATGATGATTCTGTTAGATTTATCTAATATTTTATGTGCTACAATCAATTGTGGTTTAATTTGTAAAAAACGGATTAATCGTGATTCTGATGGGGTGCATATATAAGCCCTTTAATTAATTAAGTGATCAATTTTTAACTAATGGCTGAGTATCTGAAACCTGATTGGTGTGGGTAAAAGTGTGAGCTTTAACCTTGGGCCCATAATGGGTAGGGACTAGGGTTATATATATTATATGGCTAGGTCCCCTATGTAATTACAAAAAAAAATCAAAAAATAACTGACGGCTCCATAACTTGTGAACGCGTGAACGCGAGTGTGAGATACAGAGGTGAACGCGAGCGAGTGTGAGATACAGAGGTGAACGCAAGTGTGAGATACAGAGGAAGATCCGGTCATTCATCCATTCGGAATTCTGAATCATGACTTCAACAAGTAAGTATTGATGTTTTAATCTCATATAATATCCATGAATATTTTCGCTTGCAGATTCTTGTTCTTATTCTTGTAATAATATGAGAAATAGGTCCATGTCCCAATCATGCTACATCAATCATTGTATACTAAGCTCAAAATTAAAATTCTATAAGCTGTCGGTGGAATCTTGTTCTTGTATGAGCTGTCTTTCTTGATACAGAAAAATATACAAACATATTCAATGACGTTTCATCACTCATTAGATACAAAATGAAAGAAAAACTCTATCAAGAATGAAATCCAGTAATAATAGTGATAAACAATATAGTAGAATGCACCTTTAGACATTCAATATTATCATCTCAGTCATTTGAGATTAACAACTACAGCACCAAGTTTGCAAATTCCTACTTATATAGTAGTACTATATATATTTATAGTGTCACACAACACAAACTAAATTTTCCAAAATATTACAACAGACAAATAAAGATGCAACATGAAGTAGAGAAACTTCATCACCTTCCTCAAACTAATCAAGGGAACTGAAAATTCATGAAATCTTGTGGTCTTCCACCAGCAGGAGGGTGAACATAAACCCAAAGCAAAGAAATAATGATTGAGATTAAACCAGACCAAACGTAGATAATTGTTGGAACCTTTCCTCTTCTTCCCAAAAGCCCTTTTGCAAACGGGTAAAGATGACACAAAACCCAAATGCTGAAAAACAATCCTCCAACAAGTTTACTCCACTGCGGAAATGGACTATAGAGAGTCCTGGCTACTCCCACAGCAATAGCAATAGTATTCACCATCATAATTGTGATTGGAGGTACCATTAGAAAGCTCCATTTCACTATATAAAGATCAGCAAACTCATCTTCACCATCTTCTGGTGTTGCTGACTTTGATGTTAATGTGAATGAGATGTCAACTCCTGCTATCACCTTCAACAATCCTTGTAAAACAGCTGCGGGATGAGCACTCGTTCCGCCGATAACCCAAAACTGTTCATTTCTCCACCAATCATGTAGTGTAATACCTGACCACTTGATCTCAAGTAGTGCAAGTAAGCATAGTGTGACTGTGATTCCAAGCAAGAACACTAGAAAAGTTACGCTGAGTGATTGGACTATAAACTGTCCAGAAAATAAGGATAGTGCAGGTAGGAAGCAATACACAATCAGAAACATTGAAGTGAAAGGGTACATTCCAACATTGAAATATGCTACTCTTTGCAAGAATTTCATTCTAGGACTAGCCAATAAGGCGTTGTTTCTTGAGAAGAAGATTTCGACGGAACCTGTCGCCCAACGAAGCACTTGGTGTAGCCTGTCTGTTAAATTGATTGGAGCTGTTCCTCTAAATGCATCTCTTTTTGTCACACAGTAAACTGATCTCCACCCTCTGTTGTGCATTCTGTAACCAGTCACAACATCTTCTGTGACTGAACCATATATCCACCCTACTCTTTTCCCCCACTCAGTTTTATCCTCATAGTAACAAGATATGACGCTAATTGCCTCGGCAACGGTAGCAGCATCTAACGGCTCGCGAGGAACGGCTAGAGAACCTGCAGGTCTTCCTTGTGTTCCATTTCCTTTTGAATCTTGAAGCAACCTTCCTTGATATTCTGCTACTGGAATGGATGCAGCTAGAGAAGTAGAATTTCCAAACCTTTTTGGAAGAAGCAGGGATTCTATATCTGCGTCATCGTCGTTGTGATCGCAATTGATTGGCAGACAAACTTCATCTTCTTCCTTTTTTGACACCTTAGGCTTTCTCAGAAACAGCTTAATTTTCCTTCTTCCAAACCATCCATGATGTTCAGAAGCTCTAGGTGGACTAAACCCATAAAGAGCTGTTCTTCTGAATATGCAGCCAGTTCCAACATACATTGGACCTTGTAAACCATCAAGAGCTCTCATGCTCACATCAAAGAAAACAGTGTTGTGATTTGCATATCGATCGCTAGGATCAATGCCTTCAAACCTTTGAGGGAATTGAACATAACATATCCTGTCACCGCCTCTGTCGAGCATAAAGCACATACCTTCTCTGATGGCCAATGAGTTGTAGATGTAATGATCACAGTCAAGATTGAGTATGAATGGTCCATTGGACATGATGGCACTAGTTCGAACAAGAGCATTCATGGCACCAGCTTTCTTATTGTGATCGTATCCCGGCCTCTTCTCACGAGACACATAAACAAGCATTGGCAACCTAATGTCAACATCTGTTGAGTCAATCAAGTTATCCCCATCTGCTTCTGTGCCATATTCTGGTTCTACATTTGGTGGAGCCAACATTGCCTGCAAAACAGATTAACAAACACAGCATTATTATTATTTAACACAAGACACAACACTAAGATAATGATATTCTATGCATCAGATACTACATTAGTATAAAACACTACATTATTACACAAAAGACACAGCACCAAGTAGTTGACAATGCTGAAGAAGATACCTAAACCTATGCTTCAAACACTACATTAGTATAAAGCTATACATTATTACACACAAGACACAGCACCAAGCAGTTAATAATGTTGAAGAAGTTGCCAAAACTATGATTCAAACTCTATAGTTACTGATGTCTAATAGCTTCAGTTTATACGGTATAATAAGACTTATAAAACACAACATTATCATTATTACACACAAGACAACATTAAGTAGTTGATCATGTTGAAAAATCACCTGAATATATGATTCAAACTCTATAGTAGTGCACATAAAACACTACATTGCTATCATTACATACAAGACAACCAATACATTGATAATGTTGAAGAAGTTATTACCTGAATTATACCAGCATGGTCACCTCTAGAGTGGTCAGGTTCTGCTGATGGCCAAGTTCCAGGCCAATGAGAGCCATCAGACATCCAAGTTGCTCTAGGGACCTTAATGAGGTCGGATATATCAGAACCTGTTTCCATCTGTTTCTTCTTGGCTCGTAACTCCTCATGAGCATTGTAAGCATCTGATCTTCTCCTTATAGATTCAGGTAAGGAATTGATCCTCACTTTGAATTCATCATATTCCCTCTTCACCCTTCTCCTCTCCCTAACAAAGTCCAACCTAACTTTGTTCTTGAGAAAATCGCGCTTCTGGCCAAAATAAGCTTCAGGATTTCTTGGCTCAATTTGGTGTTTTTTACAGAAAGGAACCCAAACTCTTGCAAAACTAGCAGTTTCTGCAAGAGCTTCAAATGTCAAAAGAGCTCCACCATCATCAGACAAATAACAAGCAACTTTTTCCACTGGATAGTCAACTGCAAGGATAGATAAAATGGTGTTTGCAGTGACAAGAGGTGGCTCCTTTTCTGGATCTGCTGTTGAAACAAAGACATCAATTCCAGGGAGATCAGACCTCCCTTTTGGGTTTCGCAGATTCGGTGACTCAAACCGTTCTTTCAAAACTGCCAAATCAGTAACTCTGTTCACTGGACATAGCTTAGGAAGTTGATCAAGAAGCCATGAAAATGCAAACCATAGCTCACAAGTCACTGACATTCCCCACAACCACATTGCCTCATGGTTCCGGTGTCGAATCCTCCATGTCAGAAACAAACCAAGTGCAGCAAGACGCATCAAAATTAGCAACCTTAAGGAACAAACAAACAAACACACAAAAACACATTAGGAATTGGAAACTTAGAATTCAGTCAAACATGTTGTTTTCATCAAAAGCCAAAATTCAAAATCAAAAGCTTGGAATTCAAAAAGACTCACCTATAAGGGCTGAGAATTGCAGCTGAAACCCCAACTTTCCTAGTCAAAGGTCTTCTACTTTTCTTCCCAAAATCCGGAGGCGGTTCGTATCCATTTGAACCATATCCATCTTTAGGCCAAACAGCATTTCCATAACCATAAGTTCCTTTAGTTTCAAAGAGCCAACGAGTATGATCAAAATCCTGTGGATGATTCTGAGCTTTAAAAGATTTCACAAGAGAAAGCCTCTTATCCAGCTTGAATTCCGCCATGGAAGGTAAAGGCAAAGCTTGATCTTCACACTCAGACACCTCTTCTTCCTCCTCTTCCTCTTCTTCACTGTCACTAACATTGTTGTAAGGTTCTTTACAACCCGGACATTTATTACCACCACCTCGATTTCCATTTCCGCAACACTCTTTGTAACAATCCCTGCAAATTTTGAACCCACACTCACAAGTACAACCCTTAAGCGCGTCCACATCACATCCTTTCATTCCGCAGATCAATTTAGATTTCAACGGCTGACTATCACGGTTGTCGGAGAACTCAATGACATGACCTCGTGTAACGGAGTTAAAACCTCCAGTAAAGATCGTACCAGATATGTAGTTAGGGTTGTTTCTCGGGTTTTCTTCCGGGAGGCTTGTTTGCGAAGACGAAAGCGGCATCCGATCTGGCGTTGGAGGAATGTGAACTGTGTAGGAGACATACTCTGAAGTTGTTTCTTCAGTAGCATCGGAGTAGTTACCACCAGCTGATAACCTCCTTCCGGTGCTGATTCCGGTGGAAAGCCGGTTAGATCTGTTGGTGAGAGGGGAATTAGGGTTGACATTATTGTTGTTGTTGGAGACTGAAGGACGTGGTTGTGGACTTGTTAGACCGATGCTTCTTCGACTTCCTCCGGTTTTTCCGCCCGAGGAGACGGTGATCTTCACCGGAGAAGAAGAAGAAGTGTTCACCATTTTTCAGTAAGAATGAGAATGAAGAATTGGAAAGAGAAAAAACGGTTATTGTAATAGAAAAAAGAAGATTAGATTGTTGAGTGTTTCATTTGGAAAGTGAACGAGAATGAAGGTGAAGTGTGTTTAGTTATGGACAACGTTTGAATTTGAATAAGAAAGAAAAAGTTTGGGTTGGGATTTAAATGCAACGGTCGATAAATCTGAACCGTTTATCTAGCAGGATCTTGGATATGCTTTTTGTATTGGTTTCTAAATATAAAACGGTCCATTTGATAGTAGTCAACTATATACTCAACCGTCTTTTTAAAAGGAGTTTCAACTTTGGTTTTTTAAATGTGATCTTTTATCCTTATTATAGATTTTTATTTTATTTGTTATATTTGACTCATTTATTAATTATATTCTGTCTTTTAAGGAGATAGTGTCTCTACTTCATATTCTCATTCTCTTTCTCTTGTTTTTCTTCTTCAATTTTTATTTTCATTTTTACAAAAATATTTCATTTCTATTTTATTTTTAATACATTTTTTATTTGCAAATTATATATATATATATATATATTCTACAAATGTATAATAGCATTTGGAGTTAATTTTCTTTTTACAAAATTGTAAATAACAAAACACAAATTTAAAAATAAAATAAAATAAATCATATACACTACGGCAGTCACAAGTTTATAACTTGTGATTATTAAAATTATTTTAGTCAATAAACCATGTTATACCGATAGGAGTTGTGTTTGGTAAAAATTAGAGTTTTTTAAGAATAATGTAAATTTGTTTAATTTAAAATTTAAAAAAAACAATTTGATTGATAATAGAAAATTGTAATTGGTTGAACTTATTCCCATAGCAATTTTATATCATTCTTAAATTTTGGAATAAAAATAGAAGAACCATGTAAAAATGTAATTTCTAAGAATAAAAATTATTTGGAATAATTTTGTAAAACTTGAATCAAACGTATCCATACTTATGGGAATGTTTTTTTCTAACCTTTAAACAAACACACTAAGTATATTAAATATCAATTCAATATACGTCTTTTTTTATTTTAAATACATCATAAAATGAATTAAATTAATTCATTATTGTTGAAACAAAAGGATTTTTAAGAAAGATGAAAGAAGAAAAGAGAGAAAAAAGAGAAAAACTATAACTTAAATTTGTGAAAAACGAAATCCTTATTGAATGAAGTTGTTATTTACATCATATCATACCATTTATGTAGGCAATTAAAACTCAGGCTCAAAACTTACAAAGTGAAAAATATAAAACTACAAGTTACACTTCGACATAACAATTATATCGTCTAGCTACTTTAACACAGTTGAATGCTAACTTTCTACAACTATGAATTACAACTAACACAACACCTAATTTAAGTTTTCGTCCTAACTTTCTTCGGGGGTTTGATGAATATATCAGCTAGTTGTCATTTTGTCTTGCAATACTCAAGTTCAAATTTTTCTTTGTTAACTTGATTCCTAAGAAAATCACATTTCATCTCTATGTGTTTACTTCAACCATGACACACTAGATGATTAGGTCGATAGTTGCGTTGTATTCAACAAACAACTTCATTTTCCTAGTTTTCATTATCTTGAACTCTTCGAGCAACATCTCTATCCATGTTGTTTGACATGCTGTATTTGATGCAGCCAAGTACTCAGCTTCACAAAATGACAAAGCCAGAATGCTTTGCTTGCTTGAGCACCATGAGATAGAAGTACCTCAAATCATGAATATGTGGCATGTAGTACTCTTCTTCTCGTCCTGATCTCCACTAAAATCTGAATTAGTGTAGTCATATACTTCAGCATTTATGATGGTCTTCTTTTTCCTTGAAAATAACACATCATGATCAATCATACTTTTGATGTGTCTCAGCACTATTTTGATTGCAGTGAGATGACATTCTTGGGGTTTCTCCATGAATCTTCTCAACAGTTCAACATTTTGACAAATGTTTGGCCTGGTATTGCAAATATACCTCAAAGACCCGATGATTTGTTTGTACAGTGTTGCATTTACACTCAGTTGCACTTACATGTACCTGACTTTGATAATGTATTTTCTTCCTTAACTGTTCAGGTACATGGCTAAAGCACATTGGTGTAAAAACTCTAAGATGACTAACATTCAGTTTCACACCCGTCCAAGCCTCATTAGGAGTCCTCTAAACTATCTTCTTGGTTGAACATCTTTCTAGAATATATGTTATTGCCGAAGCTGCTCTACCTCAAAATCTCTTTGGCATACATTTAGCTTTCAACATGCTCCTAGTCATGTTCAATATACTTCAATTTTCCTCTCAAATATACCATTATGTCGAGGTATATATGGTGTAATTACCTTATGCTCTATACCTTCCTCATTGCAAAATCTAGAAAATTCTCGACAAGTGTATTAACCACCACCATTAGTTCTTAGTTTCTTCAATTTGCATCCGCTATACTTCTCGATAAGCAATTTGAACTTCTTGAATTGTGTGAATACCTCACTCTTCTTTCAATAAGGTAAATCCACATATATATGGTGAATTCGTCTTTGAAAGTTAGGAATTAGCAATTACCTCCATTCGACCTTACTTCAAAAGGTCTACACATATCAGAGTGAACAAGCTCAAGCTTTTCTTTCAACCTCATGGGCAAGTCATGCTTGAATACTTTCCTAGCCTGCTTTGTGAAGGTTCCATGGTTTAAAGATTGATAACAATTTTTCTAAAACATGGTTCGCAGCAGGATGTTGTGTGTGATGCTGTAACATGTTGATTAGCTCACCTTGAGAGGAGATGTCGTAACAGATGTTGTAACATGTTATACCAGAACATTTGTTCTGGTTGTTTTAATTCTTGATAGATTTATTTTAATTATATGGTACTTCTTTTGGGATATATCTCAATAATTTTCACAAGTCAAGAAGGTTTTATTAGGAACAGGTTTTTGTATCTCCAGATGTACACAAATTTCTAAATTTGGATGATGAGACTCTTTAGGAAACTTTTCTGTTATTGTGGAGAAGATTTTACATATGGTTTAAAACTAACATAATGGAATTGATTGAAGATTCCAAGTCAATACTACACGAGCATATATAAAGAGGCTTACTAAACCTATAATAAATAGAAGGATATTAAAAAGGAAATTGTGTGTGCAAATAAGGGTTTAGGGTTTGAGCCTTCTTTAAGTGTGTTGTTGTATTGTGTGTCACTCATGTATTCTCTGATACATTGAGGTAGATTGTTTATGAGTGATTCATTCATCACCTAAATGCTTGAACTGGACTAATGTTATTGAGTTATAAGTGTTTACTCTAAGCTTTTAAGCAAGAGTATGATATACTTTATTAGAGTTTTTAAGCAAGATCAAGTAATGTCTTTGAAGTGTGCCTTATTTTGATTTATTGTTAAATTTATCACTACTGTTGTGATTGGAAAGGAAGTGAGAGGGGATTCTCATACCTAGGAGTGTCTTAGGTAGAAATTACATTGGGTACGGATTAAGTGAGAAGTTGTAAACTAGGATTGTTTAGTTTTGAATTGATACTACTAACAGTAAATATCCTTCCTGGCTTGGTAGCCCTCTGACGTAGGTGCTATTGTACACCGAACTAGGTTAACAACTCTCTGTGTCCTGTTATTTTTCTGTACCTTTAATTTTGTTTTATCTTATCCTTGTTTTTTAAACAGATATCAGTGTCTCGGCATCTCTTAGGACATCTGATATCTGCATACCAGAATTTCACTTTGCTTTGCAACATTCCTCACACACTTAACTTTGTTCCATCACCAGAGGTAAGCCATACACCATCTTCTTCTGGTTGAGCATACCCAAACTTCTGAAGTTTAATGTCCATACTTGTGATGCCATAGTCAGTTCTTGTCTTCTTTTACAATTGAAGCAAGACACTTGTGATCAACCGTGTTGATCTCTACCTTGAAAGTCCTGTTGTTTGATAATGGTTCCTTCAGAATCAACCTTCCATCGCCATGATACACCTTTATTTGATTCTTTTGTAGCTTCATTTTGTACTTTTTACAAGTAATTGACCTAAACTTATCAAGTTACTTGTCGTCAAAGGTACATACAACACATCAGTGATGTTGGCTTTTTGACCATCCTTTCTGACAACGGAGATATGTCCCTTTCCACCTGATGTGTTGTGCCTGCCATCTGCAAACTTTACCACTTCCTCAACTAATTTATCTATCTAGGTGAACCAGTTTCTTTGACTAGTCATGTAGTTATTGCATCCTGAATCTAGATACCACATATTGGTTTGCTCAGTGTTCGACTAAGTGTTGTCCCTTAGTAGCACGTCATCAGAATCGTTATCTTCAGCATATCCATACTGCACTTTTTAACTATCTTTCGCTCGTGCTTCCTTGTTTCTTCAACAGTCTCAAGCAAAGTGGCCAAATCCTTGACAGTTATAACACCACACCTCCTTCATGTCAACTTTCTTTCCAGAATACTTGTTTTCTATGCCTTTATTAATCAAATCAAGGTGACTATTTGATTTCTTGCATGACTTCTCATCATTAGCAAGATTATTTACTTGTTTCGCTTTCTCTTTCCCATGTTTCTTTATAAATCTTGCTTTTAGTGCATTTTCATTCATCTTCTCCCTTCCTGGGTTCCTATGGTTCATCCTCATCTCATGGGCCTCTAATGAAGCTTGAAGTTCATTTAACTTCATCTCAGCTAAGTTCTTGGACTCTTCAATTGAAACTACAATGTAATCAAAATTCATATTCAGAGATCTCAATCTTCTACAAAATCGTTAATTCATTCACCATACGGCTTCATCTAGATTTTTAACAACACCACATGTAAAAGGTATTCGGAGACCGACTCATCTTCCTTTACCTAATTCATCTCAAATTGCTTTCTCAATGTCTGAAATTTCACTCTTTTTCAATTTTTAATATTCGTCGTATAAGTTCTTCAACTTGTATCACGCTTCTTTTGTCGTTTCTTCTTCAATTTTCTTCTC